CAGCGGCCCGCGCGCCGCCTCCGCCTCCGCCTGCTCGTCGAGCTCCCTCTCGAACGTGCTGCTCCGGCTGAGTGCGTCGAGCGAGGTCGCGACACCCGCCTCCGCAGCAGCCTCCTCGCCCATCACCTCCGCCGCCGCCGCCTGCTCGCGCGCGGCGGCGGCGGCGAGGCCGCTGGCGGAGAGCTCGCACGCCACCCGGTCCACCCAGTCCTTGTGCGAGGCGTACAGCGCGGCGTAGCGCGGCTCGGCGTCGTCGACGTCGAGCCAGGTCACGTTGTGCGCGTCGTCGCCCGCGCGGAGCGGCATCGTGGGGGGTGCGCGTTCGCAGGGAAAGGGCCGTAAAGTAAACACGGGTCTCCCCGAGGGTTGGCCCCGCGTACCGGGTTTCCCCTTCACTGCAGGACGCGCCCTCTACTCGGAGCTAATGAACACCACACTGCACGCCCCACACCACCACTCTGCACTCACTTGCGCAGATGCTTGAGTAGAGCAGTAGACCCCCCCCGTCCGAGGGCGCTCACCCCCCGTCTTCCCAGGGCTCCGACCCTCCTTGATTCGCTTTCTTGCTCGTCTCCCGAGCGTCATGCGACGGCCGGTGTGGTCGTTTCCCTCGTTGTTGGTGTCGCTTTCTCCGCTGCCGCCCTTCGTCTTCGCCAGCTTCTCCCGGCTCCACCGATTCCGAGGGCGTCGACGGCCCGGCCGAGGTCTCCCCGGGCGAATGCGGCGGCATTGGGTCCCCTCGCCGCGCCTCCCCGGGGGGTCGGGCTGGCTCTCCCTGGTCGACGAATCGCGCCCGCATCCGCGGCCTCTCTATCGTACTCGGCTCGCCCCCCCCTCACCGCCGACTCCTCATCGAGCTCGGGGAGGCGTGGCCCTCCTTGTCGTAGTTCCTGGGTTTGTCCGGGTGCCGCCGGGGCCGCGACGGATCTACCCCTGGCGAGCCCGCATGCCCCAACTCCCCTCGCAGAGCCAGAGGTCGAGTCCGCTCGTCTCTCGCATCCTCCGATAGCTGACTCCAGGCTCCGCCCGGGGCCCTCCGGTCTCGGCCTACCGGTTCGCCTAGGGGTCCCAGAGAGAGAGGGAGAGGGAGAGTTAGAGTGAGAGGGAGAGTAAGAGGGAGAGGGAGAGGGAGGGTGAGAGGAGAGAGAGTAAGAGGAAGAGGGAGAGGGAGAGGGAGAGGGAGAGGTGGGAGGGAGAGGGAGAGGGAGAGGGAGAGGGAGAGTAAGAGGGAGAGGGAGAGGAGAGGGAGTAGCGGAGAGGGAGAGGGAGAGGGAGAGGGAGAGGGAGAGGGAGAGGAGAGAGTGGGAGGAGAAAGAGTAAGAGGGAAAGGAGAGAGTGATAAGGAGAGTAGAGTAAGAGGGAGAGGGAGGGAGGCAGAGTAGAGAGAGTATAAAGAGGGAGCGCGAGAGGAGAGATAGTAAGAGGGAGAGGAGAGAGGGATAGCAGAGGGAGAGGGAGAGGGAGGGAGAGGGAGAGGGAGAGGGAGAGGGAGAGGGAGAGGGAGAGGGAGAGGGAGAGGGAGAGGGAGAGGGAGAGGGAGAGGAGAGAGAGTAAGAGGGAGAGTAAGAGGTAGAGTAAGGGGGAGAGAGGAGAGGGAGAGTGAGAGGAGAGAGAGTGAGAGTGAGAGTGAGAGTGAGAGGAGAGAGGGTAAGAGGTAGAGTAAGAGGGAGAGAGGAGAGGGAGAGGGAAAGGGAGAGGGAGTAAGAGGGAGAGGAGAGAGTTAGAGGCAGAGGATAGAGGGAGAGGAGAGAGGGAGAGGGAGAGTTATAGTGAGAGGGAGAGTTACAGTGAGAGGGAGAGGGAGAGGGAGAGGAGAGAGGGAGAGGGAGAGGGAGAGGGAGAGGGAGAAGAGAGAGAGTCCGAGGGAGAGGGAGAGAGAGAGGGAGAGGGAGAGGGAGAGGGAGAGGGAGAGGGAGAGGGAGAGGAGAGTAAGAGGAAGAGGGAGAGGGAGAGGGAGAGGGAGAGGGAGAGAGAGAGGGAGATGGAGAGTAAGAGGGAGAGAAAGAGGGAGAGAGGGAGAGGGAGAGGGAGAGTAAGAGGGAGAGGGAGAGGGAGAGGGAGAGGGAGAGGGAGAGGGAGAGGGAGAGCTCGCCCTCCATGCGGCGCACCATTGGGGGCGCTGCGGACTATTAGGCCTCGTCGCACATCGCGCGCATTCTGGATTGTCTTATTTACCTCTGAGGTTAAAATATCCATTTGAAAAAATGCTTGCCACATCTCGGGGATGGCGACGCCAATTCAGCCATCCTGAGATGCAGCGCCCTCCGGCCAGCATCTCAGGATGTAATGGCTCAATCAGGGATGTCGTGGACATCTTTGGTTGCCTCAGGCATCCCAAGATCGGCATGAAGCAATTCAGCAGGAATGCGCGAAGCAATTCAGGATGCGCGCGCATCCTGAATTGCTTCATGCATCTTGGGATGCTCGAGGCAATCGAATTTAGAATGGAAATCGTATCGCGGGCAATTTCAGATGCCTCAGCATCTCAAATTGCGGGTTCCCCGCCCCTGACGGGGGGCGAGACCCCGCCGCACCCGGAGCAAGTCGCTAGTGGGAGGGCTGCAGACTTGCTGAGACGTGTGTGCTCCTTTTTGCTTGCTAATACTGGAACATTTTTTTATAAGGGGGGAAATGCGTCCGTCCCTGAGACGGTTGGGAAGGGGGGGTGGTTTCACTGCGCACACGGTAGATGAGGAACAGGGAACACACACGCGTGAGACCCGACCAGTCCGGGCAGTCCCCCTCCCCGCCACACACTCCACCTCTCCACGAGTAGGCTAGACGTGGCTAGCGAGAGTTCCGAGTAGGAGACTGGAAACAAAGGTGATGCCACCCTTTCGGCGGCGACGAGGTTAACGAACGCAGGACCTGTGGGGGTGGGGGAGGGGGGATGTCCGACGCGTCGTGATATGCGGCGGCAGGGCGAGTGAGTGAGTGAGAGGCGCGTCAGCCAGAGCTGATCAGTTTCCCCACCGGGCCACGGAGGGCTCCGCGTGCGGTAGAACGAAAGTTTGAGTAGCATCCTCGCGCGTGGGGCTGGGGGAGGGGGCCGTGCGGGCAAGAAGGTTCGGCCGAGAGCGCCTCGGGATTCGTGAGATTGAAATGTCTCTCAGAGGGCGGAGAGCCCGTCGGGCAATGTAGGTAAGAGTTGGGTCGTCATCGGCGCTCGTGGGTCGGGCGGGGGAGGAGCGGAGGGGGCGGGCAGGGAGGAGGGCACGGAAGGGCGCGGGCCGGTCACCTTGCAGTGTCGCCTCCGCCGTTTGGCTTGTGAGACTCTGCGCTTTGCGGGCGGGAGTGCAGCTTCAGCCTCGTACTCGTCCGCGAAGCCTCAGCTCTCCGCCGTCGACGTCGCTCCGCCGGCCACGTGCCACGGCCTCTCACGGCCACTCACAACCTCCCGCGCGTCATCCCGCCACTCCTGTCAAGGTCGGGGCGGCTTGGCTCAGCGGCGGAGTCACTCGCGGAGCGGCGGCGCGCGGCGCCGCACTCGGAGGGACGGGTTCGAACGCGGACGTCGCATGTTCTTATCTCGGCAGTGAGAGAGAGGGATGTCCGAGTTGCTCAAGACGGCGGGGCGCGCTGAGGCAGCCTCCGCCGCCAGACATATGCGCCTCGCGCACTGTCCACCCAGTTTGACGCCCGGTTTGAGCCACGGACGAGGCTCAGCGGGTAACACGGAGGGTGGGTCTGGCGGGTGCGCGGGTTCGGTGGGCTGGCGTCCCTCGGCCAAGTGTACACGTTGCAGTTTTCTCATCGCGAGTCAGTCCGCCCGTCTGCTGTGACTCGTCATCGGGACGCTCGCCGCGGCGGGGGCGCTAGAGTGGGGGGGTCGAGTCGATGGTGGGTGGGTTGGCCAGAAGGGGGTGGCACACCGAGCAGAGCCTCCCGCCACGCGACACGACACGGAGTCGCGCGAGCGCGAATTCTTATTATTTATCTTTTAGGATCGAGATCAAACCGGGCGCGCGCGAATTCTTTCGTGGGCGTCGCACGCTTCTGTTGCGAAATCGATGCGCGCAATCACCTACCTCTTCTTCTGCTGCGGCGCCGTGACGCTCGCGCTCGTGCCCAGTTCGCCGCGCTCCGCCCTCGTCGTCTCGCCGCGCCGCTCGCCTCAGCCTGTCCTGCAGCTCTGGTCCGACGGACGGGTCGGAAGGCGCTCGCGCATCGAAGACGGAGATGATCGGCGCCTGTCGCAGGGTGGCTCGGGCGGGCGTTTCGGGAAAATCGGCGGCGGCGGCAGGAAGGGCGACGCCCGGCGCGTTGGCGTCGGTGGCACCGAGAAGTTTGGCAACACAAAGTCCGCGCAGATCCGGCAGGCCAAGCTCGAGGCTTACGTTTACTCGGAGGAGGACCCGACGGACGGCACGATTGGGCGCGTGATCGCTGGCTCGCTGCTGATCACCATTTTCGCGCTCCTCGCATTCGTGTTCTCCTACTACGGCGGCGTGGACGGGCTGATGGATGCCAATAACGGGCACCGCTGATCGCAGGCTGGGGACTAGGGCGGCGTGGACGGGCAGGTCCGCGGGATGGGGCATCTACCTCGCGTTGTGCGGCGCCGACGCTCTGCCTGTCGCGATAGGACGAGCTCCTGGTAGTGCGCCTCCTCACAGAGCGCTCACGGCGGCGCGGAGAGAACGCAGCCAATGCGGTGTGGAGTGTGCGGTGTTGTTATTCTATGCTTTGCCATGCCCCGCATACTCCCCATGCAAGAGCCGCGAACACATGTACGTGCATGCGCATGTGACCTATCTCACTGTGTGCACGCCCCGTGTGCGGTGCGGTTCACCTGCGGACCGCGCGGGAAAGTCAACGCATCGCAGCAGCACACGGCACCGACGGCGCGGCGACGGTTACCTTCGTTGCCGGAGCACCGCAGCAGTCAGCAGCGCGGCGCTCACGCTGCCGGCCGCAAAGGCAATAAGCAGGGCGGCGCGGTTGACTGTTTCTGGCGCAGGCGGCACGGGGCATTCGGGGCATACGGGCTCGGCGTGGCTCAGCTGGAGAGAGCCGCTGGCCGTCGGCGCCACGCGGCGGTAGTAGCAGCTGACACGGGTGTTGCCGTACTGGTCCTTGGTATGGCACGCGCCCTTGCGACGCGGCGTCACCTTGTAGACGAGCGAGTTCTGCTCGCAGTTGATGAAGACATCGTCGAGGTCGAGAGTGTCGCCAGACGTGGCACCCTTGACCCACAACTCGTTGCGCGAGGTTGACCAGAGGCAGGCCACGCGCTGCTTGAAGGTGGCCTCGAGCGCAGCCTCGTTTGCATACGCGCAGATGAGCACGGCGCCGGAGCGCGAGTCCTGCACGACGACCGGCACCACATCACAGTGCTTGCTGGCGACCTTGTCGAGCTTTGTCCAGTCGAGCTGGAGACCAGCGCCCTCCTCGAGCTCACGATTCCCGCCCATTGCTTCTCGGGGCACTCGGTTGCGCGTGTTCCGCTTTCGGGGTTTCTTTCAGAGAGAGATTTTCTCTCTTCTCTTCTCTCTCTTCTTTCATGGACCACCAAGAACTGGCACGGGCTGCAGATGCAGCGCTTGTCTGTCGTTCTCCACACCGCCGTGGCGTGGCAGACGGTGAACGAGCTAGCGTGCGGGGACAGCGGCATTGTGCACGGAGCTAAGTGCATTGCCGTTCTTAACGGAGTCGCTTAGGCGGCTCCGGTCGTGTGCCGGTGATAGTACTAGCACGCGCCAGTTCGCACCTGTGTCGAGCCTGTGTGCTGTGAGAGAGAGTTGTTTTGTTTAAATTCTTTCCTGTGCGATGGAGCGCGTTGTAAAATTCTTTCCTGAGAGGGCTAATTGAATTCTTCTTTCTTTCTCTCCCCAAACTACTACCAAATATACTTCTACTACTACTACCTGATGTCCTGCAGCTTGAGATGGCTCGGTGCCTGGACTTGCGCAAAGCATTGTGGCGGGGCTGCCGGCTCTGAGTGGGCGCGCAGATCGCTCCCGTTTGCCCACACCGACTACGAGCACAAGTTCGAGAAGGTGAAGCCGCGCTGCGGTGCCGAATGCGTCCAGTGCGGCAACCCGACTGGCCTGAGCCGCGTACTCGACAAGCTCGACACCCTCGAGCAGAAGTACGCCGCCCTTGTGCGCAAGGAGCAGGAGCTGCTCCGGCGGGGAGGCGTCTCGCCCGCGCTGATCGCTGGCGGCGGCGCAGCAGCAGCAGGCGGCCGCGGCGGCGCAGGCGGCGGCGCAGCGGGCGACGTCTTTGCGGCCGCGGACTTGGACGGCGACGGCCAGATCTCGCAGGCGGAGCTGGCGGCATACGCCAACCAGGTGCAGGCGCACGCCAAAGAGCAGTACGACCAGTATCTGGCCGCGCTCAAGCAGGCCAACGCCGAGACAAAGGCACAAATGTTGGCACCCTGCGGAGATAACGAGCTCCACTCTGACCCCGTTTACTGCCCGCGCGCGTGCAGGTGCTGCGTTCGCAGCTGCAGCAGCTCGGCGTGAAGCCGGACGTGCCGGCCGCGGTGAGAGACGAGAAGGGGAGCAGAGGCTGCGCGGTGATGTGAGGGAAGTGCTATTGAATTTTCTACTCGAGCAAAATGGGGGAGAGACGCCGCGACATCAACCCGCCGCCGCCAAATCGGCCCGCGCCAAACCAACACACACACACACTCCCAAACCACAGAGAGAGCGTGTGTGAACAGCGTCGCCGCGTCGGGGCGCACCCGACGAAATCGCGCGACAAGGGGGGCTTCGCGGATGAGCTTGGAAGATGACAACATCTCGCCCCCTTCGTGGCTGCTACAGTTGGCCAGAGAATCTGCTCAATCCCGAGAAGCAGAGATCTTGGCCTACGCGGCGGGAGCGTTGGCCGCGCTTGCCTGCGCGCTCTGCGCCGTGTCGGCGGGGCTCAGGTCGCTGCTGTCCAAGGAAAGGTCCAACGACGGGACGGCATGCGACCTGAGGTCCGACGACCCGAGTTGGGAAGCAGGCGGCCGCGGCGGTCTTGCAGACGCCACCAGTGAGGTTGCTGTGGACAATATGATGCTTCGGCCGCTCGGGCGTCGCTCGCGCGCGGCGCGCATTAGCGCGCATTATGCCTCCTCGGGCCGGCCCGTGCTGCGTGTGGTGTCTCCTGACAGGCCTGCCTCCTCCGCGAGCAGGCGAGCATCCAGATCGAAGTGTCGGGACGGATGCTCTCTGTGCGAGGCGAGCAAGTGGAGGAGCTAAGACGGGTGTGCGCCGCTCCGCTAGCCGCTCCGAGAGTCGGCGTGTACCGTTGCACAGACACACAGCTAGTGTGGCTCAGTTGCAGCGTGGCGCGCTTGCCTTCTCAGGCGGCGTCGGAGATCGACCCGCTAGGAAGTGAGCCCTCCGCCCTCCCGCCTGTCGTCACGGTGGACATCTCCGACGGCTCCACTTCGATGTCTCACTTCTCGCTGGACGGCGTGCGCCAGCTGGTGGCCGCCCTCACCGAGGATCTGAGGGCACCCTCCTCTCCCCCCCTGCCCGGCCTCGCCCCTCTGCCTCCCCGTCCCGACGAGCCTCCGCCGCAGCTGCCCCAGTCGCTTGTTGGGGCGCGCAGCAGATCAACCGCGATGGCGATCCGCAGCGTGACGCCGCAGCCGGATGACTGACACGAGTTTGATATTAGATAACGCGCCGCCGCCGGGCAGTCGTGTCCGCGCGCGCGGTGAGTCCTGACCTCAAAAATCCCATAATACCGACCTGCACGCTCTGGGCCTCAACTCTTGGGCGCGCGCGGCTGGCCCGCGGTGCACCGGTGGCGCAGCGGGCAGCGCCACCGCCAGCGGAGCGCCGAGACGCCGTGACCCGTGTGCGCGCTCGCTTCCATTTGTATTCGCTTTTGTACGGCGAATCCCTCTGAGAGAGCCACCGCAGCGAGTGTGCATGAGTACCTACGCGCAGAGACAGAGCGAGAGAGGCAGAGGGACGCGCAGCGCACGCTCTCAACATCGAACATGCGGACGGAGACATGTGTGGCGGTACTCATGGGAAGGGAGATGTACGCTCGCGCTCTCACACACCGACAACGTACGCTCGCCCAGGGCCATCCGGCGCCAAGGCGCGATCTCGCAGGACCGCGACAGAGCTCGGCTTGCCAAGGGCAAGCGACTGCAACCTGCGCGCTCCGGGAGGAGACTGCGGGGCTACTTCGTCACCTTTGGCTTCGAGCAGAGCCAGACCGCGTGCCTGGGCACGCAAACAATGCGGGAGTGAAAATGCGTGCGTGGCTTGGGCGACTGTGCGCTCCCTCACCCTCCGTCAGGCGCTGTACCCATCCACTCCGGCACGAGCTCGCACTGCATGCTGTCGTCCTCTGCCGGGTCGGAGCAGAAGAACCACTGCTTGGACGGATCCGGGGCGTCCTTGTCCTCGACGATGTAGCACGCACCGTCATCGGTCGTCTCTCTCTCCGTTGCCCATTTGGCTCGGGACCACTGTGCCCCGGCGAGCCCGTCCTCGCCCAGGTCGGCGCGCTCTCCCGGCGTGCTCATCCGCGCGCAGGCACGGCTGCCCGGCGTACTCATCCACGCGCAGGCACGGCAGCCCGGCGTGCTCATCACAGCCGAGTAGCCCGTGATTGCGCAAGCCCAGACCGACAGCATATCGCTCCTGTGGGTTCCAACTTTTTCCGTGGTGTGGTATGGTGCGCTCGGCCAACCCACCTCGAGACCATACCCCCCCGCCTCTTGGAAGACCTGCTTGGGGTATGGTAGGGCTAGCCTTGGGCGGTCAGGACCATACCCCCCCCCCCCCCCCGAGCCTACCATACCATACCCCGGAAAAAGTTGGAACCCTGCTTTGCCGCAGCCGCTTCACACCTGCTCCTGTGGGAAGAGTCCTAGGGAGGAGCAGCGTGAGCAAGACCCGAGCCCCCGCGAGGTTCACAGTCAGCTCACTGGCCCGGGGCAAAGGAAGAAAAGAAAATCTCGTTTGAGCTGCCTGGCCCTGGGGATGGACGCTCAGCTCCTCAGCAGTCAGTGGCCCCCCGGGGGGCAAAGGAAGAAAGCGGGTAAAGAGGAACCTTTCGATCGAAGGTGAATTCGCCTCGCCACGACCTCCATGGCTGATGAGCATTGCAGTCCACAACGCGATGGAGGCCGTGATCATCGTGTTGTTTGTTGGCCGTGCACGACGACTCGCAATGAATGTGTTGACCGACACGCACGCACCGACCCGGCGTCGCAACCTTCCCCCCTTTCGATTCCCCCCTTCGCCTGCTACTCATTAGCCCGCGATTCGCCCGATGAATATCTGTCCCGAACAATCGAATCTCCAATTCGCGCGTCCGTCGATCAGGAGAGTCGCATTGCCACAGCCGCGGGGGGGGGCACCGAGCCCGGCCCCGCAGGGGATGGAGGAACCGTGCCTGGCGTGCGCCTCGCGGTCCTTCAAGCGCGGCGACATCGTGCGGATCATCAACCCGGCACACGAGAGATACAACCAAACAGCCATCGTCATGCGAGTCGACCGGAGAGCGGGAGGGTTGCAAGCGCCCAGATGTGCCACATTGAGATAGACCAGTGCTAGATTGAAGGATGGAGGCGGCGCTATATCACACAAACTGACCAGCGTCGCCCCCCCCCCCCCCTCCCCGGCCCGCCAAGGTTGATGGTGGTCCTGGCTGATGGTGCCGTGGCGGGCTTCAAGACGAGCAGTGTCGCCTGAAAGGTGGCCGCCCAGAGAGCCGTAGGTGGCGTGAGGCGTCAGGGGCGCTAGCGTTTGGAAATGCGCACGGTGGCTGCTCGCCGAGTGGCATGTAACCTATCGAAGCGGCGGAGCTATTTATGACGCGGCATGCCGGTGCGCAGGATTGTGAGCCAAGAGTGCCGCAGTCCCGGGTCGCCCGTATTTATTGGGGTCCTTGGTCGTCGTTTGTGTCTTTAGACCGACAACTAAGGAGTACTGTACACATGCAAAGGGCCACTTTAAACACCGACTGGACCGGCCACACGCTCGAGTCATGCACTCATAGCTTTTCAAGTTCGCTGGCCACCACGACCACAACTGGCACCAGCTGGGCTGCCACACATCCCGAGTGAGCGTACGGCACTACGCCACTCAGGCCACGTCCCCAGCCTACTCGCTCGTCAGCTCGGTGGCAAGCTTGAAGGCAAATACGTTCGTCGTGCCAAGAGAGGCGGCGCGCATTCGCGCTCCTCACGCCTGCGGGTCCGCTGCCGGCGCGGCCATGCTCGCAAAGGCAGAGAGCATCTCTGCAATCGTGGCGAACTGCGACTCGATCGCGGGGACGAGGCCGGAAAGGTCGAGCTCGAGCTCCGCCGAGGCGGGGTCGATGAGCTGCTCGGTGAGCTCGTCCTTGACGTGGGTGTCGAACCTGCGTCATAAAGTCGGGGCGTGAGTCCGGCGGAATCGACCCCATCTCGTGCTCAAGTGCTCAAGTTCGGCGGCCTTCTCGGGAGTTGAGGGGTCTAGGTTCAGCATCTAGGGTGTCAGACCAGTCCAGCCCCTTGGTGATGGCGTCGGACAGGCCCGCCGCCCAGGCCCCGTCACCCGGAGGCACGAAGCCGCTGGACACCAGCTCGGTCAGCAGCTCGTGCAGGTCCTCCACCGCCTCCTTGATGTCCTTGGTCGCCTCGTCAGGCACGAAGCCTGACGAGATGATGAGCGCGCTGACCTGCTCGTGCGTCGGAAGCTCGCCCTTCAGGAGCGTCGAGGCGGTTAGGAGCAGCTCGGTGAGCATTTTGAACTGGTCCTTGACGGCCGGCACAATGCCTGTGAGCTCGACCTCGAGCCCGGCGTCAGCGAGGGCAGCCTCTGCGGGTTTGATGAGCTCGCTCTCGACGTGCGTCTCGACGTGATCCTCGAACCATTTCACAGACTGGGTGAGCGTGTCGGCGAGGCCGGCCGCCCACGCTCCCTCGCCCGGGGCGACGAAGCCATGGCTGTGCATGAGAACGAGCAGGCCGTGGAGGTCGTTGACAGCGTCGCGGATGTCGCTCTCCGCTTCCGTTGGAGTGACGAGCGAGATCAGGTCCGACACGGTCTCCGGGTTGACCTTAGCCGGGTCGATAAAGTCGAGGATGGCCTGCTGCTGCTCTTCGGGAAGCTGCGAGGCGATGGCGATGCCGGCGGCGGCGATGGGGAAGATCTTCTCGTCAGGAGCGGCTGTGGCGGCAGCTTGGACGGCAGCGGCAGCGGCGATGGGCTGCTCCTCCGGGACGGGCGCAGAGCCAACCAGGGCGAGGCCGGCGACGGCGACGAGGCGAGCGATGCGCGGCATACGTTTGGATATAAGTCGGGCTGCGTCGGGTCCTTGGTCGGCCAGGAAAGGAGAGAAAACTCGGTCGAAACGAAACTCGGTCGCCCCCCCCCCCCAAAAAAGAGAGAAATAAACAAACGATGCAACCTCCATGACGAGGTGCAGCAAGAGGCGGTACGTAGGGTCTGCGGCGCGCTCGGCATGAGGGAGCAGTTCGAGGCGGCGATGGCGGCGGGCGAGCTGCTCGAGATGCTCGAGAGCTTGCCGCGAGGGGCGGTCGAGGGCTCGAGGCCTCTGTCCGACTGATGCGCGGTTACACCCGCACGGGCGAGTGGCCAGAGCCCATTCTCACCAGCCCTGCCCCGCAGCGCGGCCGCTCGCCAAGCCCCGCAGATGAGAGAGAGATTTTAGGAAACCAACAAGAAATCACGACTCTCACAGTGATTTGGGCTCGGCAGCTTAGCCCTCAGCCGAAGCTGGGGCCGGTCCCGTAGGCCGTAGGCGTAGCCGAGAGAGCCCGCGCCGATGAGTTCGACGCGGTCGGGGGTAATTGCGGAGAGGCCAGCAAGGTGGCGATCGCTGTACTTCATGGTGCCCTCGGTGGGGCGGCTGACAAGCCAGAGGTCGATACTCTGGACGACCCATAGGATGCCACGTCCCACGAATGCCTGGAGGAGAGGGAGGCGAGGCCAGAGGCAGGCTCAGCTGCTCTCGGGTGATCTCGCTTTGAGGCACCAGTCTTCTGGAGAGCTCAACAGCTGCGGCCGCGATGGCGGAGTCGGCCGCGGTTCGAGCGAGCAGCTTTTGGCTGCGGGATCGAATCGCGGAAGGCTCATGCCCTCGCGGAGCGACGCGGGTCGCGCGGCGCGCGCGTGTGCGACAACAGACGACAGACGCCAGAGGCCTGAGCGCTGTACGCCTGCACTTTTGTCGCCGCAATCGCCACCGCCGCCATCTTGACGAGCAGCGCGAGCGCGCTCGTCGGCGGCCAGCCGTCGCGGGCCGGGCCGAGCCCGGCCTCAACCGGCCGCGCCGCCGTAGCAGGCCCGGAGGCCCACATGGCGGCTGACCAGCTGATAAGGAGGGTTTCTCAGATGAGTGGTCAGATGGATAGTGCCAGAGAGCGAGGGGTCCAGGGGGGAGCACAAATAGGACGCCCAGCCCTGCCCTCGTGCCGCCGAGTGCATACAGTCTGTTGCGGGCATTAAGAAAACAGGATACCCGCGGCACGCCGCCGTTTCTAAGCCTTTCCACCCACCCCACCCACCCCACGCCGTGGTTTCTTAGCTTCGGCCGGCACCCCAGGTCAGCCGGGATCTAGGCGAATTTTTAGGTAAAATGACAATAAGGAAGCGCTGGACCGATGCGCCAGTCAGCAGTCTTGGGATGACAGGAAGACGCACACACCTCCATCCACACCGCCCAGAACACCGCAGACTTAGGCAAAATGACAAGTGCGCGCGCCGCAGGCGAAGAGAAAATTTGAGCGGGGCTCCTGTTCACACTCGTGTGTGGGCCCTTTCTTGGGGCCGCGCCTGCGGCGCGCTGTGGTTTCTTAATGCCCTGTTTTCTTAATGCCCGCAACAGACTGTATCCTATGCGAGAGAGATTCCCTGTGCCCTGTGCCCAGCCCTCTCCGCGCGGCGATGCGCCCTCCCCCCTCGCTTTTGCAAAATCCTGCAAAGGTGGGGACGTGTCTGTCCTCGACCCAGCCCTAGCTTGGAGCACTTGGAGCACTTGGAGCACTTGGAGTGCAGTCGGCAACCTCACATCCAGGGCCGGGGAGCTGAGGAGCGCACCCAGCGGGCCGGATGATCGGGATCGGGTTGCGGGCAAGAGAGCCCTAGCCCTGGGGGGTGCGCGTTCGCAGGGAAAGGGCCGTAAAGTAAACACGGGTCTCCGAGGGTTAGCTCTGCGCTCCGGGTTTCCCCTAGCAGCGGAACCCCCCTTGGGATGTCCGTTTATTTATACTCTCTCGCATTACAACAACCGGCAACCGCAAGCCGCTCACTCCCCCAGTCCCATTCCCTCATCTTCCCCGCCTCCTCCACCGGGCGGATCCGCTCCCACGCCGCGTCTCGCACCACCTCGCGGTCGCGATCGCTCATGCACATTGCGAAGGAGCACAGGAGCCAGGTAGGTAGGTAGAAAGGTGAAGAACAGCCAGGCTCGGACTGGACACCAAGGAGCCACTTAAGGTGCGAAAAGAAGAAACTACAGTGCTTGCACAGGCTCGAAGGCCGACAATCGCCGATGAGGACAATCGCCGATGAGCTCTCGCGTCTCGCTCAACTGGACCCGCAGGTTTGCGCCGCCCTCCCGCACCGCCTTCAAGCGCGGTCTCGTTACCTGGCTCGGCCTGACGACCATCAGCCTCGTCGCGCTGGTCAAGCGCACTGACGGTTTGCTCAAGGCGCTGCTCGGCGGCCCGGCGCTGCTCTGCGCCTCGGTGCTCGTTTACGGCACCTACCGCAAGGAGCGGGGGCAGCTACCCTTTAGCGAGGACGAGCAGCGCGCGTCGGCCGAGCGACTGGGCGGCTTTGGACGGCATGTCACCACGAAGGACGGGCGGGTGGGCCACTGTCGTGGTTCAGATGCACATGTACGAGCATGTGGCGTCCTAACGCACTCAATCAACACACAGGTGGTCGAGTACCTTGTGTACGGCAGCAATAGGGAGGACGCCACAGTCATGGTTCAGATGCACGGCGCGACCAGCACTGGCGGGCTCATGTGCACCTGGAACGCCGAGATGTTCAAGCATCTCAACATCAGGGGCATCGCCCCCACCATGCCCAACTCGGGCTACAGCGACATCCAGGCGGGCTGAGGAGAGCTGGCCTCTTAGCGAAACTCATCCTCTCACCGCGTCCGCCCTCTCTGTGCAGCCGGACCGCCGAATCGCCAACTTTCCGCGCGACGACCTCGCGCCCATCCTGTGGGCGGAGGGGGTCGACGAGTTCTTGGTGGACGGCCACAGCCTCGGCACCTCTCACGCGCTCGCCGTGGCGTGGTACTTTGGCGCGCCCAGCTGTCGTGCCTCGAGGCCTGCTCGCGAGCTCCCCGTCTGGATTCGCCGCGGTTCCTGTCTAGGCCCCAACCACGCCGAGCACCGCTGCATCGGCCTCGGACTCAACTGCCCCTACCTGTCGACGCCGCTGTGCGATGAGCTCGGCTTCCGGTGCGACGCGGACGACCTCTTCCTCGTGCGGAACAACGACCCGCGCGAGTGGCACGCCGCGTGGAACTTTACGCTCGCCGACGTGACCAACCTGCTGCCGTTTGCGTCCCCGCCCATGGCGATAGGGCACATGATCTGGCCAAAGCTCGCCGAGGAGAGGCCGTGGGTGCTGCCGATGGTCGCCGAGGATCAGAAGCGGACGGGAGCGCGCGGCTACGTGGGGCAAGGGTACGAGATGACGTGCTACGCCACCAACACCCTGTGGGGCTTCGACCCGCGGCACATCCGGACCAAGCACGTGGCGGTGTGGTGGGCGCACGATGACGGCAGCCCCGGCATCGCGAGCCCTCGGGTCAGCCGCCGCCCTGCGTTGTGGCGCCCTCCATTTCAGCCGCGCCGCTGCGAGTAGGCTGCCCGCCGGAGCACGGGAAGTGGCTCGCGGAGCTCTTCGAGCGGACGGAGGGCGTGCAGACGCGCAACCGCAGCGTCGACATCGGCCTCGGCCACTGGTCGTTCTCGCCCTCGCTCGGGCCGTGCTACCAGGCGGCCGAGGAGTCGCTGCCAAAGACGCTGCTCGAGATGACGCGCAAGGAGGCGAAGGCGGCGCCGGAGCTGTGGCCAGAGGACGATGCGGAGGGAGTGAGCAGAGGTTCGAGCGGCGCGGAGGCCGAGGTCGACCCACAGCGTCTTCAAGACGCACACGTGGAGGCGCCGGCGAGATAGAGATGAGAATCTGTTTTGGTTGTGAGGGGCGGTGGCTGCGGGGTGTGCGAGTGTGCGGAGCCGGAGTCGCAGCAGGGCTGCGCCACGTGTACTCTTTTTGCTCTCGGCCGGCCCGCCTGGGCGGCCGCTGCTCTGTCTGCCAGAGAAGAATTCTTATAAAATACAAGCCTCTCTCACAGCACACTGGCACGACAAGGGCGCGGACTGGCGCGGACTGGCACACACACCGGCTCACCACCGGAGCCGTAGAAAAGAGACAAAGGGAGGGATGGGCTAGTTCCATTCACTGTGGCACAGCTCGCGTTACAAAACCTTGATTTGACCATTTGCGCCATTTGGTACCTCTCGGTGCCTTCCAGAGGCAGCTGCGACCCCGCCGAGTAGACGGCGGCACACAGCAGGTGGCGCGGTGTGCCACCGTCCACTCGGCGGGATCGCAGCTGCCTCTGCGCGTCCTGGGTATGTACCTTTGTCGCCGCCGGAGACGACTCGACGCCGCTGAGATCGGAGATCAAGCTCTGACAGGTCGCACGTCGCTCCTTTGACGCCGACGTGACTCACCCGTGCAGATCACATCAGGACACGGTCTCGACACGCTCGGTACGACGCCTGCGACCCGTCTTGGGTCAGGTGGCACGACGCTCATCGCGCCTGCCAGCGCTGCCGTGCAGGTTGCCACGACGAGGTCGAGCACGCTTCTATACGCTCGCCCAGCCTTCCTTTCCATCCCATTAGGCAGCCTGGGAACGGTGGCGGTCAGAGGCAAAGCCTGCGAGGGGTGGTGGAACCACATGTCACGGCTACCGCCGGAGGCTGACTTTGCGGCACCATCATCGGACGACGTCGGCGAGTTGAGTCGCGCTCGCGGTAGCCAGATGACCTCTCATACTAGTATCATCGGCCATGGCCGCAGGAAGCGCGGGGGATTCCGCTGGGAGCAACACGGAGCTCCGTTGGACGCGTTTTCAAGATTAGCGTGTCAGAGAGTGAATTTGAACTAGCCATGGGAGGACGCGGCAGCCGGCACGCCGCCACCAGGGATTTTACGACGACCGAGCTAAGATCTGAGCTAGATCATATTCCTCGCTCCACGCTCGACATCGGGATGCGGTTTCTTGTCCCCCCGCATAACGGGGGACGCGCGATAGAGCAAAAATAATCGTTGGTTTCGTTGCGCTTACGGCTTTAAATGGACGTCTTACTTGGATCATGGATGCGTACGGCGTGTCGCTCACAGGACGCCGTGTGCTTCCCTCGTACGGTCGTATACGCCGCTCCCGCGTCACAACTGTGAGGTACAGTCCGCATGCACACCCCTGGGATGGGGTCGAGGGATGGGGCGCGATTACGAGCCCGGTCACGCTGCCTTCCGCGCCCCGTCCCAGTCCCGGATCATCCGGCGCAGCATGTAATTGGGGGTGAGGTATGGGTGCTCGAGCTCGCCGCCCGTCAGAGGGCTCGTCGACTTTGTCGCGAGCCAGCGCTCGATCGCCGTCCGCTCGTAAGCATGCCCATCGGCCGCCATCACCGGGTCGCTCATGACCTCGGTCGTGATCGGGCAGACGAAGTCGGCTGGTGGCTCCTCCTCCTCCACCGAAGGCGGCCTCTCTGCAGCCAAAGAGGACGACACCTGCTCGTCGGGCGCCCGCCTCTCCTCCTCCAGCCTCGCGCTCTCCTCGAGCGCCGCCGCCAACTCCGCCTCCTCTCCCGCCGCCAGCGCTGCCTCATCCTCGGGCTCCCGCGACGGCCCAGCGCCGCCTCCGCCGCCCTTCCCCTTCTTCTTCTTGTTGTTGCCCGTCTTGCTCTCCTTGGCGCGCTCCGCCTCCTTCTCCTTCTCCTCCTCCGCCAGCAGCGCCTCGGCATGCCGCGCCGCCTCCGCCTCCGCCGCCGCTCTCTCCGCCCCCCTCGCCGTTGCCTCCGCCTCCGCCTCCGCCGCCGCATGCTCCTCGAGGGCGCGCACGCACTCGGCGTGGCCCTGCTTCTTGGCCACCTGCAGCGCCGTCTTGCCGCTCGCAGAGCACAACGCTGCGTCTGCGCCCGCCCGCAGCAGGAAGATCACGACGGCGGATTGGTTGCGCTTGGCGGCGGCCATCAGCGCGGTGCCGCCCTCGCTGTCCTTCTGGTTGATCTCCGCGCCGTGCCGCAGCAGCAAGTCGATCACCCGCTCGTGGCCGCTGCCGGCGGCGTCCATCAGCGCGGTGTTGCCTCCGCTGTCCTGCAAGTTGATCTCCGCGCCGCGCCGCAGCAGCAGGTCGATCACCCGCTCGTGGCCGCTGCCGGCGGCGAACATCAGCGCGGTGTTGCCTCTGCAGTTCTGCATGTTGATCTCCGCGCCGCGCTGCAGCAGCAGCTCGACCACCCGCTCGTGGCCGTTGCCGGCGGCGTCCATCAGCGCGGTGTAGCCGTTGCCGTCCTGCTTGTTGATCTCCGCGCCGCGCTGCAGCAGCAGCTCGACCACCCCCTCTTGGCCCTTCTGGGCGGCAAGCATCAGCGCGGTGACGCCGCTCGCATCGCCTGCCCGGCAAGTCGCGTTGACCCGCCCGCCGCTGTCAAGCCACGCCAGCACCGCCGCCTCGTCGCCTCGCGCAGCCGCTATCCCCGCCTCGAGGCGCCTGGCCTCTTCGGATAGCCTGCCCGGCGAGCCGGAAGAGGCTGCGGCCCTCGCTCCCGCCGCCGCCTCGCCCGAGGAAGCGCCGCCCGCACCGCCCGCCGCCGCCTCGCGCTGG